GAATAGCAAGATGATCACATTTCCTTAAAAAAAAACAAACCCAAAAACACTAAAAAAATATTAAACAAGGAGTATGTTTTTAAAGAAATGAATGAATAGATGTGATAGTGAATAAACGATTATGTATAATTTTTGGAAATATCAGAATACATAAAACACAGAAAAGCAAGTCCATTAAATTTTCTTCTCTTTACATAACAGCAATATGGCCTAAGTGAAAAGATAGGTCTTGCGCTATGCTGTGGCTTTTTTTTTCCTAGAGAAAAAAAGTCCCTTATGTGTTTACAAACTCTGAAATAAAGACAAATTGTTCCTTCCCAGAGGTCCCTACACCACGTTCCTTATAAAACCCAAAGGATCAACTATTTCTTCCTTTTATTCTCTCTTTCTCACTGCCTTTGTAAAATTGTGACTGCCCTGTAACTTCAAGTGTGACTAGAAGAGTCTTCTTTTAGAATGTTGATAAATAACTTTAAGGTATAATAAAGAATGAAAAATATTACCAAAAAGTATTTTTAAAAGGGAGCATATGCCATTTCTTCTAAGCATACTGTTTTTAATGTTACCGCAATTTGAAGAATCATTAATTAGTTACTTCCTATTATGGACTGAGATGATCAGACCAAGTATGAAAAAGTGGTATATTCTATTTACATCTAAAGTAATTTGTATTCAAGAATTAAATACTTTTTGGGGTGGGGGACGACAAACAAACAAGGCCAGGGTCACTCTCCTATGTAGGAAATAACAACCAAAACCCCCAGAAGCATATAATACCTCCATTTTTTCCTCTGGAGACATGCTTCTTCAATAACCTGTTTTCCCCTCAGATTTATTGAATAAACGCATTTTGTTGCTTTGCACTTACTGTTACTTCATCAGTTAGCTCCAATCCTCAGGTTTACTTAACCAAAGAAATAAGAGCCAGCATTTGAATTATTTTACCACATGGATCATAAAGAATGAATCTCCAGAAAACTCACACAAAAGCAAGTAAAAGCACTTTATAAACCAAGCATTTCTCCTTCATCTAATTTTTTTAAATGAGCAGTCACTAAAATCATCTTTATTAAAATGTTGAAACCAGAATATTATAAATTAATTTTACTTTTCACCTCTTCAGCTGTTTTAGATTTTTTGTAGGACACAGATGAAGGTTTACTCCACTCTTCTTCCAAATTCACTATCAAGAAAACCATCTACAAGTAACTGAAGAATGTAAAAGATGAATTTTTTAAAGATACCAGGTCCCTAAATAAATGTGCTGAAAAGAAAATTCAGGGTTTTTCTTCTTAAAATTGAACCACGCAAGTGTTTTTACAGAATGCAAGTTCCATTCTCTAAGCGATGCAATTTTTAAGAAAACTAAAATATACACTTGAAAATACTAGGAAATGACTGATGATTCAAAATATTGCTTTTCCTCTATTACACTAATGCAACCATCTTTAACTTCTAAAACAAGAAAGAAAATGTTAATATACTTCCATTTACGTAGTAAGTTTTCAGTGTGCTGGGCAGTGAAAATTTCTGGGTGAGGTTTTTTAAAAATTTAAATTTCACCATATTTTCATATAGTAAGTTACTTTCCTTCAATAATATCTTGCTTTAAAATATGACTACAGAACTTAAAACTCAAACCATTGTGAGCAGCACAACTAGGGAAGAAACCACAACACCTATAACATGGCAAGCACATTGCTGCTTATCCAATGAATACTCACTGACAGGATGATCCAATAAAGACTATTTGATAAAATATATGTAAAGTCAGCTACATACAACCCCTCCCTCCTCTTATATATGAAGGGAAAAACACTTAAGACTCACCAGGACTAAAATTCTTTCAGCTGAGTGGACTAAATCCAGTCACATTTAAGTAAACACAAAGTACCATGTTTTCTCCAATTCATGTGAAATTAAAATACAATTCTTTAACCACAAAGAGCAAAGAAATAGAATATAAGGTTAAATTTAATCTTAAATCTGAAAAATTAAATGTTTTAAAAAGAATATTGGTAGCAAACAGGCTGGCTACAGCAAAATTTCATCCTGTTTAATAGCAAATACTCCAGGACATAAGTATAAAGCCAGTTTCCATAAGGCAAGCAGGAGCATCCTAAGAACCATTCCAGAATACAGTTAACGCAACAGGTACATGAAAAGACCTCCAAATAAACTTTCCTTAATTTAGTCATGTTTCTGTATTCCAAGGTTTAAAAAGGAGGTATTATGGTTTTGATAAAAGTACTCTCCACTGACTTCAATTACCAAATAAAAAAGACAAAAATTGGGGGCTGATGGTAAAAAGTTGCCTACTTCCTGAATCTGTTTTTGGGTGCCTCTGAGATCATGCAAATGGCAATTCACACAAGAGAAATGCCTTATCAATCATTAATAGTGGCTGTACTCAAAGAAAACAAAAATCTAAATATATCACACCTCTTGAACTGAAAGGTAAAGAATAATAAAATTCTTCCTGGGATAACAAAAAAGTTTTGTAAAAATCTAATGTTACGGCTTAAATCAGAAGCAAAAATTTAAATCGCCAGTTCATATACTAAGGTCAAATTAATCAAGACAGTGTTGTTTGTCCACCAGTTTGAGGCCAAATATTTAAAATAAATACCACCGAAGAAAGGGGGGCAAAAAAATACCAAACAAAACAAACTTCCCCAAGGGAGAAAAAAATATATTAAAAGACAACGATCGACTAGATTTGGAATGGGGTGAAAATGCCAGGAAAGGGAAATAGGGGAAGGTAAAAAGCCACTCTGCTGAAATGTAGAGAAAAAAAGAGGTTCTTTCTACCTTGGGGCGGAGGGATGGAACAGTTTGGAGAAATGGGGAGACTCCCGCATCCTAGAGGGCTGGATTGCGAAAGGCCAGGTTCATTTCTCCAAGCTCATACTATCTCCATCAGGAAAATTAGTTATTCCAAGGCCGTCCAGCCTTGGGCTTTCCCCACCAACACGGGCTGGCTGTCAGCAGCGACGGCGGGGGTGGCGCGGAAGGGCGCAACAGCATCTCGGTCAGGGAGGGAAGAAACTTCGCAAGAGGAAGCGGCAGCTCCTCTCTCGGCCCCTAGAACCCGGCGGCAAAGTTGCGCCACAGACGCCCCCGCTCAGCGGACGCCCCCGCCCCGGGTCTCTCCCGCACGCAGTACTACGCAGCTCCCGACCCTTCAAACTGTCCCCGAAGTCCAACTATGCCTCCGGTCCCTCCAGCCCCCGCACCCATCCCAACTAAGTTCCAGGAAAAGCTTCCGCCCAGAGCGCGGCCTGTTCCGGACAACAGGTGGGCAGCGGCGCCAGCAGGGCTGGGCCTCTCCTAGCCAGGCCCACTCCACTCCTCCCCGGCCGGGGCCCGGGAGCGCCCGGCTCCGGGACGGGGAGGGGGAGCTCGCTCCCTTACCTCCGCCATATTTGCCGTACTGACGGGTCACATCGCCGCTACGGCCACAGCTGGGTCACGGCCAGAACCCGGATGTGAGACTCGGCAACGGGACTCCAGTCGCTGCCGCCTCCCGCCTCCTCTCCGCT